CTAAGTCTTCCTACCAACATTACCGAGTTGCGAAAACAAGGTCAAACAACTTAGCAAAACAGCTAAAGGAGACTGTGACCACACAAAAGGCCACACCATCTTGGTCTTCACACCTTCGATTAAAATATGTTACTCAAGTTCACTAATTGCAGTCTGAACACTTTCTAAAATCAACTACGAATGACCTTTCTCTAACCGTTATTTACTGAGCTGATCAAAGTGCCGGAAGAGTTTTAAGAGGCAAAAGTGAGAAACAGAGGAAGCCGAAGTGTTGGCAAGACTCAGATAACGCGCAAGAAGATAAAGAACTCATCCACACCCTCGGCGATAGCATTCCTTCGATCTCAGTTGTTGTGACCAAAACGCAGAGATTCGCGAGCCGACAACCAAAAGTTGGCCAGACCGACAAAATGCACCAGCGCAAAGCAGGCTCCCTCTCAATCTGACCTGTTTGCGCACACTCTCCGGTTGCCAGGCCTTGTTTGCTTTTGCACAGCCCAACTCTAAGGACAACACATCTTCGCCCGGCCCCAGCGACAAAGACGCCAACACGACCGCACAATCGAGGCTCCGGCGTTTCCGTGTCGACGCGACAGTGACTCGACTGCCTCGCCCTCGCCCTCGCCCTCGGCCTCGGCCTCGTCCAGGCCGGCCAGTCGCAGACGACCGTCCCCACTTTTCCCTCGTCTCGTCACACCCGCGCCAATTGGCCCACAATTCGCTGAGGACACCTCTTTCGGTTCAAGGCCGCCATCTTCAGGCGGCCCATACTGCACCGGCACCGCAAGCTCACAGACACGCGGACATCGGCGAATCGACCAACTGGACCCGCGCACACAACATGACAACGAGCATACACACATACACATACACATACATACATATATATATGTAATTATATATGATTTTGTATTTGCAGAAAAATGGGCCTATGGTGCATTCTGACGTACATGCCCAGAGGGCCAGTTGTGGATTGGCAACCAATGCGGATGGGGCGACGGACCGGCTTGAAGACATACACACACACATGGCGTAGACTGTCTGTGTGTCGGTTGTCGGCCGGCCTCGCCACAACAACAGGGCAGAAACAGCTCGACAAAAGGTTATCCTACACAAGTGACCCAGACTTGTCGGCTCTCCGTGGCCGGGCGGGCAAACTTGAGGCCCAATAGACCCCTCCCTCACCCTTTTCGCCGATTAGCAGCGCCATTTCCTTCTCCCACCCAACCCCACCCGACACGACCCGACCCGACCTGACCTGACATGACATGACATGACCTCAACAGCCCCGGCCGGTCCGACATGATTGGGCCGCGTCACCGACAAACGCCGTTTGTTCAGTCGGTTGCCAGGCCGACGGTACCGAGCCCCGAGGGGTATGAATGGCCGGTAGTGATGGTACT